GGTCAAATATGAACTAATTTGGTCCATATTTCATCATTGAATTTAGGTAAATTCAGCCATAACTTTGTTATTTACTTGATTATTTTTGATTTTATAGTCTTGTTTTATTTCTTTTTTTTTTTTATCGACAACCAGATGGACATACCAAATTTATTCTGCAACTCGTTCATTTTTCTTCTAAATGCGTTTTTTAAAGTCTTGATTTTTGACATTTAATGTCGAGCGGGTTAAAATGTCATTAAACTAAAACAGTTTTTTTGTATTAGAGATATGCCATTTACTAATATATGTATGCCTAATTTAAGTAAAAATAATAAGAATATTATTTTAATTAAATTAATTAAATTAGTATTTCTATTTGATGATGATAATAAAAAATTTTTTGCTGTGTAGAATCATCGTAAATAAAAATATAAACATAAAAAAATAATTATTTTTGTTTAAATATTTTATATATCAAAGCTAATTAGATTACTTATATTATTAAAAAAAAATCCTTAATTTTAAAAGATCAAAAATATATTTTTTTTTTATTCCATAGTCTTGAATTTTTTTGCCAAACTTCAACTATTATGGTTATTGGAAATTTTAAAATGTTTAATACAATAATTATTTTTATATACTGTATATCAACTCGGAAAGAGTTACGTAGCAGAATATCGGGATACAACACTTGTATTAACTCAAAAAGAATGGGCGGACAGATGGACATTGCATGTCAAGGTGTACAAAATTATTTAGTCCAAAGCGCAGAGAAGGATTAACTTTAAAACACATGCGACATCATTTTAAATGTTTTATTAACTAAAGAATATAAATTGTATCGTTAAAACTAAAAATAAAAATTTATGAATTGTCAAATTTCCGAGAACTTTACTCATAAGATTTGATTACATGTCATCATCTTATTAACTGAACTTTTCAAATCGAGATATTTGAAAGTATCATTCAGGTTTTCTAATCACAATGTTTTTTTGTATGTTAGAAAAGCAGTGTTCACGCGCGGCACTTGATGCGGTGATATTAGGTTCTTCACAACATCTATCGCATAGTTACATTTTGACTTTTCCTACTATGCTGCATATCTATTGAAGGTTCCCCTAACTAAATAACTTTCCGCAACACCATTATCCTTTTTTTTGGAATAAATGGATTGGATTGCTTTTGATTGTTTAACTCTTGTGGAATTAGTAGGCAAATTTTCCTTAACTTTTTGATTGACAACGGCAGTCGCAGGTAAACTACTATTAACATTATGGGGCTCAACCACAAGTTTCTTCTGTGGTTGTGAATTCGAACTATCATCACCTATTTTTCTCTTATTATCACCGGAAGCGGAATTTGTATTTCCTCCGCTCGAACTGGTGGCTGAGGTTGACTTTTCCTGCTCGTTTTTGTTTTTCTTTTTCTCCTTTTTTTCTTTAGCCTTTGCCTTTTTTTCTGCTAATTCAACTTTCAATTTTTCTTGTTCTGAGGGGCTAGGATTTATTGTAACTATGTCTTCAGCTTTAAATGGCTTGCCGCACTAAACAAGTGAATAATAGAAATCATTAATTAGAATATAAATAAATTATTATTATTATTATTATTAATTACCTGAATACATGTCTCGCTGGGTATTTCTTTTAACCCTTGCTCTGAGAACACGCAACCGCAAGTATTCAAATATACGAACTTCAATTTGCCATTCATTTCTTTCCTGGTAATCGGACAAATAAATCGTGATACCATTCCCTGATCAAAATGTGCAATACTCGCCGCGGAGGATTCTTTAAATGCAGGGTTGGGTGTAAGATTTAAAGCTTTAACGTCCTATCAAAATTTTTCAATAACATAATGTTAAATAATGAACCAATCTATAAGAATTTTGCTTTAATATATATATACCTTTAGACTAGTGATGTGAGAGCAAATAATGTCGCCATCTCCGTACGAACTTTTATTTAATAAATATTCTATGATTGCATCTTTGTTATACAACTTTCCCAAGGCACAGGAAACAACTGGATCTTGTAGCAGACGCTGGAAACAAGCAAACGAAAAATAATTTAGTTTGATAATAAATAATGGTAATAAGTTTATTATTATGTCGCGTAGGTACCTTTGACAACACGCAAAAGAACCAAGTCGCTATTTTTAAAGCGTTTTGATCCGGTCGAACTTCTTTTTGTTTTTCTTTTACGAGCTCGATCCTCTTTGGAATTGATCCGCCGTCGTTTCCCATATTATTCAGACAAAAAAATTAAAACGTAATTATTTGTTTTAGTCATGCGACAATTTATGTGTGTTTACTGGCACGTGATTTATAAATATATATTAGAACATAAATGAAGAATCACTTAAAAATTATTATAATTAATCGGAAATAGTTGTCATATATTAAACTTTTTATTTTTTTAATAATCATAAATTTTATGTACTAAATAAACTTATTTCACATAATGAAATCTATCTATAGTGAAATTTTTATTAAATTTGAACAAACTTTTATTATTATGTTTAATGATTTTTTTTTGAATAAAATTTTGATACCCATATAATTTTTATAATTATTGTTTTAACAAACAATTTGATATTAATAAATTTTGTTTAGTGTATATTAAAGTATTTAAATATCAAGTTTCATAAAATTATATTTAATATTTAAATTTTTATTTGATAAAATATAAAAAAAATTTATTTTAATAAAAATCTTATAGTATATATATTTTATTTTGAAAAATAATTTTACTTGATACATAAAAGGAAATTTTAATAATAATAATAAAATTTCTAGATGTAGTTATGATTATCAATTAATTAAAATTAATTAATGATTTTAATTAAATATAGTATTATTAAATTTTTTATTTATTTAAATTTATTTAAATTTATTTATTTTTTTTTTATCTAGTTAAATCTTACTTAACAAACTTTATTAATATTTAATATTTACATATATTTGTATATATTATTGTATATAAATTATGCTATAATATTAATTGATGAATGTATACTAAACTATATTAAGATTTTTATAGATATTGATTATTGTTATTGATTTTTTCTATTGGATAAAAATTAAAACTAATATATTAAGGCATTTTTTTTTTCAACTAGCGAGGCCTTGTCTAACATACTTTATTTAGTTTACATGTGTATTTCTTATTATAAGACTTATTATTTATAAACTATTCTAGATGCATGTTTTGCTATATCGATTTAACATCATATCGGCTTGTTGCTATTGACTTACCTTGCGGCTTATGTCAAGGCTAACATGCCAAGGCTCCGTTAGTATTGTTATTGTATAAATAATAAAAGAAATTAAAATTTATTATGTTTTTTCCCTGGTCTTGCCAGTTCTCTAAGAGTTTTTCTTGTAGTCTTCTTGCTTCTTCCATTCTTTCAAATGGTGATCTGTGCTGCTTTGTGTATGTGGCTTGGATATCGACTTGGAGTCTTCGTTTTTTACTTCTTTTTTCTTTTCTGCTTATGTTTTCTTCTTTTTCCCATTGCTGAAATCTCTCGCATCTATGGATTCAGAGTTCTCGGAGTTTCTCTATCATTCTGTTTGTGACTGTTCTCAATATATCTTTGATTTTTTCCCTGTTGATTTGTCCCACGAGCTTAGTGAGGTCCTTTTTGTAGATTCTCTTGATTATATACCTAATGGTTCTTTCTGAGTCGTTGATGATAAATTCAAGTTGTTCTCTCCAGTTCCTTTTTCTTTCTTGTGTTTCTATTCTGCTTGTTATTTCTTCTTTTGGTATTTGTAGGTATGTAGTTCTAATCTTATTCCTATAGTGTTCGCTGAACACGTGTTCTGTGGTTTCCCATCTATTGCACCAAGGACATATTTTGTCCTTGTATATGTCTGGCCTTCTCTCATTTAGCTTGTCCTTGGTGGGGAGCTCTTCATTGAGTAGTTTG